ACGATATTGTTTCTGTCAACTGAGCTTTTGACATGACACTTAATGTGACATATCAGTTTTTTGTTATTATTTGTTAACAAAGTCTGCATTTACTAAAATGAATGATTGATAAGTGTCAAGTTTAAGTTAATTTGATAGTGTTTTAGGCCATGGTGATGTGGAATTTTATGATTTTTTGCTAGAAACTACCTAGAATCTAGAATTTTTGCATTTACATATATAAATTATGAATATATTGAAAATTAGTTGCATTTGATCCCTAATTATTCATTTTGTAGGTGAGTTTAAGTTAAGAGAAGAGCAAAGATTGAAAGGGTTTTGAAGAAACAAGCAAAAAGTTAAAGTCAAGAAGAAAAGATGAATCTGTGATCCCCTCGCTTGAGCAAAAATATTTCGCTAGAGCGAGGAGACCACAGAAACTGAGAGCTATTATAATCCATTTTTGCTGTAGTGAGAAAATTTTGTTCCAGGGAGAAAGATATAAAGAGCAGTGGTTTTTGGAGTCCTGTTCTCGCTGAAGCGAGAATCCTCTCGCTACAGTGAGAATATTTTTCTTCAAGATAAAGTATTCTCATCGTTGGAGCGAGAAATTTTCGCTACAACATAAATTCACTTATCCTGAATCCTATTCAAGGCGGTTCACACATTTTGCAATCTCTTTTCCTTTTTGTCATTTTTAAATACTCTTAGATAGAGAAACTAGAGAGAGAAGGTGAAGAAGTTTGTGGAAACAACTTTGGAGCTGGATTTGTTGGATCTCTTATGTTCTTTTGATGTTATGGCTGTGATGAGTGACTAATTTTCTTATATTTGGGATTGAATGTAATCTTCTAACTCTATGTATTCTTTTTTTTATTTAAATATATATAGATGTTGCATTATTATAGATTCTGGTAATTTCATTCTGTTCTTAATGCTTGACTTTACTTGGCCGCTAGTTTCTCGATGTCAGATCTATGTTTTTATTGAAAAATATGATTTAGAACCTGATCTGAATGATATTACTTGATATATTGTTATCCTAGGAATAGATAGCTACATATCAATTGCTTTAAACACTCAATCTTAATGCTGGATGATTCGTTACATACCTGAAGAATCGATATTTAAGGAATTATCAAGATTTTGTAATTGAGAAATCGTTATGAATGATTTGAGTGCGTTGCATTAGAATTTATGATTTTGTAATATATATATATATATATATATATATATATATTATATCACTGAATCAAAAGAATACAAAGAGAGTGAATGATGAATTTCAATCCCAACGGTATTTAAATCTGGTTAAAAGACCACTTTACTTTTTTTTTTCTTTAAATTTGTGTTTTTAAAATCTTTAAATTATGAAATTCATCAATCATTCCTTTGTAAATATGCTCAAGTATTCTATATTTTAGGAATTAATACAAATTAACAAGCTCGCTGTGGACGATATCCCAGTTTTCACCAGTTTTTGTTACTTAAACGATATGGTCCACTTGTCGTATGTACACAAAAGTCTCATCAAGTTTTGGGCACCATTGTCAGGAAGCACGATATAATTTGTGATAGTTCTTAAATATAGTTAGTTAAGTAGTTGTAATTAGTCTTCCTTTCTTTTTGTAATTAATTATAATTAACCTTGTGCTAACTTATGCTTTCAAGTTTGTTGTTTTATGCTTTTACGTAGAAAGGTTTATGTAGATCAACTACTTTTTGATTCAAAAATTGAAAGGACAATAAGAAGAAATAACAACAAAAAAAGAAAAAGTAAGAAGCAGGGTAATTCACATGGGGATTTCTCAACCTTACAAGCAAATTCATCTCAAATCAATTCAGAATCAACTAAAATCAAATCAATTCAGAACCAATTGAAATGGCTGATGAAGGAGGAAATAGCAATAATGTAAATGATACCAACCTTGGAGGAAATAGAGGACAAAGAGTGGATCAACCTAGAAGAACTCTTAGTGATTATGCAATGCACCAAAGACCAAGGCATTATTTAAGCATTGTAATTTTGGCTACTACTAGGGCTATAGAGATTAAACCTGTTTATCTAAGTTTAATTAGTGCTCACCAATTCTCAGGAAAGGATCATGAGGACCCTTATGCACACCTTGATACATTTTATGAGTTGGTGACCACCATAGGATTTGAGCAATGTGAACAAGAAGCATCAAATTTGAAGTTATTCATATTTTCCTTGATAGGAGAAGCTAAAGAGTGGCTAAAATCACATCTAAATCAAAGTCTAACAAGTTGGAATGATGTGGAAGGGAAATTTCTTACAAAATCTTTTCTATATTCATTCATTCTCCACTTATTTTACTCCTATATGTTGATATTTCTATTTTTAAAAGAGAAAATTACTTAAATAAATAAGGGATGATACAAGAGGGTATGACTACCTCTCCTATCTGCCCTAAGTGTGGAGATGATTCTAAATCTATTATTCATGTTTTGTGTGATTGTTTTTATATTAGACAAGTATGGAATCATTTTATTTTTCCTGGAAATTGGATTGTTTTCTTTAGTAGTAGTCTTTATAATTAGATTAATGGTAATCTATCTAACCAATGCCCTAATAGTTTCCCTAACTAGAATAGACAGTTTAGTTTTATGATTTGGTACTTATGAAGAGATAGGAACACATTTATTTTTCAATAATCCTCTATCCTGCCTAAATTGTTAGCTCAAAAATTAATATGTAAATTTGATTATTTTAATTGGTGATACAGGACCAATACGAAATACGTTTCTGGTTTTTGTAAACTAACAAATTTATCTAAAGTGGATATCTCTAAGATTTAGGGACTTTAAACTCAATGTGGATGGCTCAGTTCTAACCATATAGTTATTGGATATGGTGGCCTTATAAGAGATGATCAGGAAAATTTTATTGTTGGATTTCATAGAAGCACTACTGAATGCTCTTAACTAGCTACACTCTGGGCATTATTTTGGGGATTAGTCATCCAAAAATAATTTTAATGTATTTGGATTGAAGGAGATTCTAATGAAGTATTAACTCTTGTCTTGAATATTTAATCTTATTCCCATCCCTTTGCTCTCTTTATGAAATTAGAATTTTTTTGAATCAAATTAAATTTGTTAGATTTAATCATATATATAAAAAATTTCAATATATTGATTGGCTTGCTAAGCATGATGTTGAGGGATGTGTTTCTTCTTACTATTTTGATAATCTCCCTCCTTCTTTGTATTCCTTTTTATGTCTAGATGTATGTGACATTTGGTTAACTAGATTAAGTTTTAGTGCTTCTTATTTGAACTTTTAGCCTCTTTTGTTAGAAAAAAAAAGGATTTTTTAACGCAATAACAATTAATAATTAACTAATAATAAAATATTAATAACAACCTAAATTTGATAATAATTATATAAACTAGTACTAATTATTTTCTAAATACAAACTACTTGTTTTCTAATTTAATAATAATCAACTATCTAAAAAATTCCTATTATCTTATACAAACAAACCAATATTTAATAATTAACTAATAAAAAGCTATAATTAATTACAATTTTTTTTAAAAAATAATAATAATAACTAATTATAACCCTTATAGCTAATTATTTTTTAAATAAAATTAATTAATAATATTCTACATTTAGTAATAAGAATAATAGTAATAATATAATAAAATTAATAATAATAAGATTATTTTCTAAATCCAAACTACAAATAATTAATAATTAAGTAATAAAATTTTATATTTATTAATAATAATAATAATAATAATAATAATAATAATTTCTATATACAGACTGCTAATTTCTAACTAATAAAATTTAACTATCTAATAATTACATATTTCTAAATACAAACAAAATAATAATAATTAATTAAATAATACAAATCTCAAATTAATTATAACATTTAAACAAAAACACATAATAACGATAATTATTATATTTCCAATTAAAACTACTAATTTTTAATTAAATAATAATAACATACTAATTACTTTTAAAATTTTACTAAGTTTAAACTATCTAATATTTATTAATTCATATTTAATATTTTATTATTTAATTTTTTACCAGAAAATTACTACAGCAACATATTAATTTTTTAAAAATTCTATCTAAAAATAAAAAAAGATATTAAAAATTATACAAATAATTATTCAAAATTAAATTTTACTAACAATTTTTCAAAAAATATAAAAAATTTCACTACCAAATTAAGATTTCAGCCGCTTAAAGAAGAAAAATTACAGTTAAGTTCAATTAAATTTATTAATAAGTAAAAAATAAAAAAGTTACATAGAAAAAATTTCATACCTCATAAAATATATAAAATTAATTATAATAATATAATTAATGCCCAAAAATATAAACTAAATGCTAAAAAAATTCAACAAAGTAATGAAATAAGAAAGTAGGTAAACTAAGAAGAAGAATGAAAAAATAAAAAAAAGATTGAAGAAGAAAAAAGAAAAGGTTCAACGTTTTCAAATATATGTCACTATTTTAATTAGTCTTTTTGTGTGACATGGTCAGTAAAAAGAGATAAAATTAGCTTAAATGTTTGTAATTAGGTCACATTTAATTTTAATTATTTAAATTTAAATTTTATTCTTTTTAATAACAAATCAGTTTCCCTGTAATTTTTTTTAATAACTTAAATGTTTGTGACATGATCCAGATATTCTTTTTAATAACTTATGACAATTTTTAAAAATTTAATAAAAAATTAAAGTACAAAAAAATGCCACCAGTAATTTTATCAAAAATCGTCACTCACAATTTTTTTAAAATTTTATATTTACGTAATTTTTTCAAAACTCATATTTTAGTAATTTTTTCATATAGAAAAAGGCCCAAAAACTGCATGTAATATTTGTAATAATAATTCATGAACCAAAACAATGACCTCGTGGATATAGGCAGTCCACAAATGCAAGGCAAACGTGGCAGAATCACAACCATTCATTTACTTTAGCAAAATTCCAAAGGTGCTAACTCCTTCTGAGAGAAAATCAATGCCATGTCTCTTCCGAGAATAATCAAGTGTGTAAACTCTTCCATCACATGCCTATCTTTATCATATATAGGATCGAAGGCCACCACCACCCCATTTTATCCAAATCCTTCATTCCTATCTATTAAGTCTCTCTGTACTCTTTTCCACTCTCTATCCCTGATGGGTTTAGTATTTGGAAAAATCAGCGTTGAGACCCCAAAATATGAAGTGATCAAATCCACAAGTGACTATGAAATCCGCAAGTATGAACCCTCTGTGGTGGCTGAAGTCACATATGACCCATCACAGTTCAAGGGAAACAAAGATGGTGGCTTTACGGTTTTGGCCAATTACATTGGTGCTTTAGGGAACCCCCAGAACACAAAGCCTGAAAAGATTTCCATGACTGCTCCTGTTATAACAAAGGATCATGGTGGTTTTGGAGAGAAGATTGCTATGACAGCACCAGTGGTTACAAAGGATGGTGGTGTCGGTGGTGAAGAAGGAAAGAACAAGATGGTGACTATGCAGTTCCTTTTACCAGCTATGTATAGGAAAGCTGAGGAGGCACCTAAGCCTATTGATGAGAGGGTTGTGATCAGAGAAGAGGATGAGAGGAAATATGGGGTCGTGAAGTTTGGAGGAGTGGCAACAGATAAAGTGGTGAAGGAGAAGGTGGAGAAGTTACGGATGGGTTTGGAGAAAGATGGGTTTAAGGTTGTTGGGGATTTCTTGCTGGCTAGGTACAATCCACCTTGGACAATACCTACTTTCAGAATTAATGAGGTTATGATCCCAGTTGAATGAGCATACTGGATATTAATTAATAGTGATATAGATTTCAGTACTTGGTGTTTGTTAGGCTCCTGCTTTTCTTCTACATGATGATGTTAGAATAATGTTGTAGTTCTGCCTATCGTTATTTTACTCATACATACAATATAAAGAAAAATGACTGTTTTTGGTATGACTTGTTCTGTTATGGAGTCAATGTAAAAATTGGTCTCTAGAAAGTAATACTTTATTTACTTTTGATCATTGAGTGCGTTAATTTACTTGCATTTTGTTCCTTAAGAGAACTATTTGATTTCCCTCCGAAAGTGTCCACAAGTAAACTTGATTTTTGAATATATTATTTTGTTTATGTTTTACTCCAATTTTGCTTAAATTTTTATAGGAAAAAAACACTGAAATATAAGCAAATTAACGAGACTAAATTGTGTAAAATAAAATTTCATGAACTAAAGATAAACAAAACGCTACTTTCATGGATCAAATATGATGACTTCTATTTCTGTCGACAAGAGTTTGCTGCTAATGGTTAATATTTGTAAATATTTATTGCTTATTTTATCTATATATCACAAGCAAATTTTAAAGGGAATTGAGAATTATAATCAAGATACATTCAATAGTAACACAGCTGATATGTTATGCTCGTTATACTCCTGAATTGAATTTATAGGATTGTCAACTATTCACGGAGCATAAAGCTCAAAATGTACATATCATAGACACAACAGGGTATAGCGCTTCAATGTCACTCTATTTAAGTTATCCAGAGAACAGCTTCACAATTATAATGACAATGTTGAACAGAATAAGGGGAAGTCTTAAGAATTGACAGGCATATATAAGCCCTATCACTTGCCCTTTAAGAGAACTCCTCCTTGGTCCTGTCATTTCTGCCAAAGTCCATCCTCTTGGAGCAAGAAACCGGTCCTCATTCAATATTGCCAATGCATTTGCGAAGAGCAGAAAACCTTCTAGCAAAGTCCAGAAACCCATCTCCTGCCACAAATACAAAGGGTGTGCATCTTAGTACTAAGAGGAAAGCTTCACAAGTTCCACTCGTCACAAGAATCAGTTAACCAAATTCAAATACCAATAGGCTATGAAAATTGACACGCACAATCTGATGATAAACATGCTACAATCAAATCCTTAAGTCACTATCAAGAGCAGCTAACAATCTAACATCTACCTGGCTTGAGCTGCAAATGGGGTCAATGCTTCAGCCTCACGGGATATTGATCAATAATGTGAAACCGAACTTGTCAAAGTAAATCCAAGTGCAATGCATTCATACTCAGCTAGATGAGTAAGAAAACACAAACTAGGGTGACATTCTACACAGTTGACTACTGCATGTAAATATTAAAAAAAATACAAAGAAATTGTGTCAAGATGTTCCTTCCCTCAATATTATAATCTTTACCTTACATGCCTCTCAAATATGAGTGTGCAGTCCATCTCATATTATGCCTATCCTTACTAGGCTTAAATAGATGGGAATGCAAAACCAAACAGGTAGTCTAACAATGTACAGGTTTACACAATTAAAAATTGAAAGAAGATCATTAGAGAAAATGCAAGGAGATCCACAAATAATGCTTATCCAAAAACTAACCTTCAAAAGTAAACTTGCCTGCTTAAATTCATTTAAGTCATTTTACAAAGAAACTCATAAAAGTCTGATAAAATGCAAGCTGTTTTTCTTAGATAAATCCATGCAAATTAAACCAAAAGACAGAATCATGGAGAACAATAAGGACCACAGAAAACAGAACAACAGGCCCCATATGGGGAAAATTTTCATTATAATAATGATTTTGACTCATCCACAAAGTTAAAATCACTGCAAAACATATCCCAGTCATTAGAAATGTAGAACGCATGATTCTTAGTCTGCAATGGTACAAAATACTATTCTGTCTCATAATCACTGCAAAAAAAGCTGCATAACATCGCTGATTAAAAATAACATACAGCAAGATAAGAAGTAATATGATCAGAGGAGTCTCAGTAAATTCAGACTTCTGATTATCTTCAATTTCTTTAGGAAGTTTTGGATAGATAACGCTGGTTCTCAGTAAAATTACTGATCCTCAAATCCAACCATGTCAGAATAAGTAGTTCATTTATTGTGTGTATAACTCACAAGGCTTTTAATTTTTAGAATACTGCATGTAAAAGTAAAACAAACCAATCAATATGAAAAATATTCTTCACTGACAATCAAAGTGAAAGAATCATTGATGTTCATATGAAAATTTCACTTCCAAATTTTTTCCTAACAGTAACTAAACAAGTAAACAGTGATTTAATAAATGTCTCCCTATCTCAGAAGCAAATCAGAGGTTAATAACCATCAGAAATCAATATCACAACCAAACCCGCGTGCGAATAAACCTTTAGCTGTAAACTGAAGAGAACACTAACAGTATGGACCATAATATCGGTCAAACGAATTTTAATTTTTAAGTCAACCACAAAATTAAAATCATTGCAACCCAACGATTTAATCAAACGAAGATACCACAGCATAAATTAAAAAAAAAAAACCGAAGATGGAATTCTCACCTGTGAAGCAAAATTAAAAAAGCGAGGACCCCTTACGAGGTGTCGATACTGAAACACTGAAAACCCACTCTTAAGAAAGAAATCTCGAGAAGACGATCCTTGGACTCTCCGAAAACATCATCCTACGGCACAGAATGGCCGTTGCCAACACGTCAGAATTAAAAATTTAAAATAGTGATTGGATTGGAAATGTACGTAGCAACGCGTGAGGCACCCCGCACTTGATCTTTCTCCTTAGAGTAAGGTTCACGTTCAAATTCTCTCTCAGTGATATTTTTAATGTAATATAAGAAATTTGTTTATTGCCCCTGCCATAGATAAAAATAAAGATATTAATAATGATGCAAGATTTATCATACAATAAAAATTATAAAAAATAAACAATCTAATTAATATCATAATATATGTTAATTAATATTTTTATTATAAAAATATAACAAAAGTATATGTGTTACTGTTGTAAGAAGTGGATGAAAAAAATTATTAAATCATTTAAAAAATGTAATATATGAATGTAAATTAATTTATGATCTTAAATCTATAAAAGTATATTTTTCTTAAATAAAATAATTGAATTAAAATACACTTATAGTATACAATAATTTGATCATAAATTGTTATATTAATAATATTTTTTAATTTTACAAAAAATTAGTTTAAAATTATACTTCTCGTGCAATTTTAATTAATTGGTAGTATAATAATTTTAATACTAAAAATATATTAGAGTTAAAGTCTTAAATAAATTATAACAATAATGCTCATAAATTTTATATATAAACTAAAATTTTGAACAAGATATTAATATAAGTATGAATGAGAGTTAATTATTTGTGAACCGATTGAAAGTTAATCTTTTTTATAATTTGTCAATATATTAAATCTTTATTATATATATATATATATATTTAAGTCAAAATAAATTTTAAAAAGTTACTATTTAAAATAATTCTATTATATGTATGATTATTTTTATAAACATATAATTTTTAATTATTTATATATTTACTCTAAAATAAAATATATGTGCATCGTATAAGCTAAACTAATTTTAAAAATAAATAAATTTGCATAAAACATATCAAGGCAACTAATAAATTTATAAAACAGAAAAAAAATAATAAAGAAAAAGTTCCTAACAAATAATAAATATCAATTTCTAATTTATAAATCTTGATTTGATAAATATATTCATCATTTTCATACATTATGATACAATACTTTTTAAAAAAATATTATTGAATAGAAAATATATCTTGTAATAAATTTTTCGATAAAAGAAAGTAAAGAAACAAACAAAAGAAAAAAAAAGAAAAATTACAATGTTAAATATTAGACTCTCTTAGCATCAACTTGAAGTAGTAGTTTTGTTAGACTTCTTCGAACCCATAATTTGAAAAAATTCTCAGCTTAACTAAAAAATTTACATGTGTTGCCTCTATGCAAAGTGTGTCTAATGGTTATTTTTTTCAATCATTCTTTTATATCCCAAATAAAATTAACATATTTGTGAAAATTTGAAACAATTTCCATCACAAAGTTTATAACTTTTGTGGCATCAAAATAACATAAGAGATGTCTAATATTTAAGTTTCTTGAATCAATGAAGCATAACTATGAGTTTAACATGGGTATTTTGAGAAATTTCAATGAACTAAGAAATTCCTCCAAGTCAATTTCCATCCCTATTTCTAATAAGAGCTTCAAAACCAGCTCTTCCTAGACCCCTAAACACTCAATCAACATTAAGGATGAATTCAAAATTTTGGTCAACCTCCCAACGAATCCAATCTCCAGAGGGCTTGAGAGTGTTGCTCTTATACAAATAAATGAAGTTAGTTAGTAAGGTTTATAACATCAAGCATAACTTTATAAGTTGGTATCTTTTTTTCAACAATGCAATCAACATTCTAGCCTTCTATATCCACCATATTGTAGCTAAAAATAAGGGAGAATTACTTTTATATTAAGTCATAATCAAGTTGTTGGCATAAAAGGAAGTTGCAAATTCTTCGGTCAATAGACTTACATGAACCTAGATTTTTTTGGTTGTCAGACAATCTCTGACACAATGGAACATATTCTCAGTGTAAGTACGACATTTCAAGCAAAGGGGTGAAGGCACCAAGTTCATATGATGTTTTAAGTAATTTGTGGAAGGACATCATAACAAATAAGTCAAACTAAGAATTTAATCTTTTTAGCACAACCAAGGCATCAAATCCACCTCCAACTAATATACTGATTCAGAGTTCTCCAATCAACAAGCCAATTAAAATCATGTTTAGTTGTATAACTTCCCTTTAAAATGCTTGAGCAAATAAATTTGTCTTTAACATGATTATGAATTGACATGTTAGATTGATGAATGAATGAAGTGATTAATGTTGGTAACAAAGTAGCAATTTGAGAAAAATTCTACCTCTATTGGGTCCAAACGTTCCTCACACTTTATTTTACCTATCTTGAATGTTGACATAGGAAGTGTGGTCACATAGTTTACCCAGTCTCGACCAGTCATGATACCACAAAGAAACTTGTCCATTACTAACTCAAAAAGTAAACTCATTCCTCATAATATTTTTAGCCTTTTTATTATTTTTCAAGAATGAGACCCTCCATCTTATTATGATCTAAAAAATTATCTTTCTTCACATTTTTTTTACAAGCAGTTGGATCCAAAGTTTTCTTTTCATCATATCTCAATCTCTTTTATCCAGTTCACTAGGTTATTCCTTTTCCACCATTATTCTTCCAAAGGAAATTATGCACATACTTATCAATTAGGTGACAAACAAATTGAGGCTGCCAATATAATTGTAGGTAATATGTTAGGATTGTCATAATAAATAACTTAGCTAGTGTTAAACATTCTGCTTTATTAAGGAAACTAGACTTCTTATTAGCAAACTTATGTTGAATTTTCTCCATAATGAAATTGAAGTGTCTTCTTTTCACTCTTTCTGAGATCATTGGAAGATCCAGATATTTATCAAGGGAAGCACTAAAACAAATACTTGAGATAAAGGTGAATTTTGCTTGTTTCTGACCATTGGTACTAGTTGAAACATAAATCCAAGATTTTATTAATTTAACCTTTAGACCAAACACAATTCTTAACCAGTCAAAAATATCCTTTATGATTTTGATATGAGAATTGAGAGCTTTTAACTTTTACAAATAGAAGCATATCATCAACAAAAAGCAGATGGGATATAGTTGGGCCATTTTTGCTAAGCTTAACTGAGTGTCACTGATTATTCCTCACATAATCTTCTATAGTAAGAGCCAACATTTTCATATACAAAAGGAAGAGATATAGAGAGAATGGAGTACTTTAGTGAAGGCCACAATTTGGAGAATACGAAAGAAGCTTATTCCAATTCCATAAAATGATCATGGATGGAGTAACGACATAGTGCATAATAAGGGTCACCATTTTATGTGGAACCCCAAAGCTTAGGAGGGTACGCCTTAAGAATCTCCATTTAATGTGATCATAGTCTTTTATAGGTCTAATTTAGACGTAACATTCCCCTTTCTCCTTTTGGACTTATGCATCATATGAATAATTTCCTAACAACTCTGTTGTTTGTACTACCCCGACTTGGAAACTACTCTAAAGAGGCCCAATAAAATCATTAAAAATATGTCTAAAACTATTAACCACTACCTTTGTAATGATTTTGTAAAGGACATTATATAGGCTAATAGGCTAGAATTCCTTAAAATTGCTAAGATGATTCACTTTTTAAATGAGAGAGATAAGAGTCTCTAAGTGCTTGCTATCAAAAGTGTCCTTCTCAAAAGCATTATTGTCGTAACTAGGCAGTTACAACGGTATGGCAAAAACATTTTACAAATTAGTAGAGTTGCCACTAAAGTTTATCAAAGAAAACCTTGGAAAAAGTTAAAAATTTTATCTTTAAAACCAAAGACGGATTCAGAAGTCATTTACTTGTAGGGAAGGTATTAACACCTTATAATATCCGTTTAAATAATGATCACCTTAAAGTAATGTGCAAATTTATTATAATTTTGAAAAGTATTTATTTAACCCTTAAAAATAAATATTTTTTATTTTAAGAAAGTAAATTTATTTATTAAAATATTAAGTTGTTTCTTAGAAAAGAAAAAATATTTTTAAAAAAACTGTTTTGACTTGACAAGTCTGATTCCCACTCTTATGCTCCTACGTATCCTTGGGTACAATGTAGAACTCAAAGTCACGTAGTTTTATATAAAAAATTAATTATTTTATTGATTAGAAATTTATAAGATTTAAAAAAAAAACTTATTTTAAAATTAATTATATATATTTTTAAAAAATGCTTATATCTTTTAAGATACAAGATAGTACAACTATATATGTTACCCTATGATAAACAATACGAAAGGCAAAAGAAAATCACACATCTATATTGTAAGTTGTACCATCCAATATTTTTAAATATTAATTAAAGAATTATTTAATATTAAGTGTGATTGGAATATATTTAAATGGAGTTTGAAATTATTTATTAAAAAAAAGTGAACAGTAAAGCGGTGTGAACAGTAAATTTGACACGAATAGTATCTAAATTTTTTTTTCAAAATTTTGCCTATAAATAAATGGCCTTTCATTCTTTACACTTCTCAAAGGTTCTAGAGAGACCTTGTAACATCCTTCTTTTTCTTAAGTAATTTTCTCTAAATAATTTATATTATTGAAAATATTATTAAGAAAGTTGGTAATAATTTGTAAACTTTGAAGAAATAGTACAATATGGAAATACCAATTAATAAAATTTAACAAATTTATCAAATTAAAAATTTGATCTATCAATGAAATAAAAATACAACAATAGATTTACATATCTATTACATCTAATTTAATTATATTTGAGCAGTTCTTTTCTCACAATCCTTGACGAGTATGATCCTAAAATGAATCAACCATATCCAACTCCTTTCTTTCATTACCTAAAAAATATCAATAAGAGTGAGTATTTTCCACCCTACTAAATCTTCTTTATTATAAAATTAAAAAAAACTAAAGTTATTGCCTAATATCCTATTCTAATTCATTATTAATAGTGCATAATTCATATTGATACTTATCATATCCAAGCACA